TTTTTTTTATAGTTTGACGAAAGTAAATATTGAAAAGTTTTTTTTTTTTTTTGCCCATCTAAAAAAAAGATTTTTTTATTTTTAAAAATTATTTATCCCCCCACCCGAAGAAAAAAAAGAAAAAAAAAAGATATAAAACTATATAAAAATGATGAGTGTTTTTTATTTTTTTTATTTTTTATCAATTTTTTTTCCTTAAAACTAATTTTAAAAACCAAACCAAACAAATGAATGTTCTCGGACCCCAAATATCTTCTTCTCTTTCATTTTTGGGCAATGGAAAACAAAAACAAATATTTTTGACATCCAAGTTTCCATTTGAAAAATGGGACTTTATCACCATTCCCTAGTGACATTGTTGCAACAATGTTAGACATTTAAAGTTTTTTCTCTTCAGGTACCCTAAACGATTTCATCACAATAAGGTTACGAATTTAGAAAAATGATTTGTGATTTAAATTCAGTAAGACTTATATATATATATAATAAATTTAAATTATATATTATTATTCTAAATATTTTTTATGTACACTAAAGCCAAGTTTGGCTAAACTAAAAAAGTGCACTTATTTCATCTTTTTATCTTTTTTGGGTTACATCAATCAACATCTCCTCTCTACTTTTTCTACACATAATACAAGAAAAGTCAAAAAGTACACTTATTTAGTCTTCCCAAACTTGACCTAATTATGAGTCTATATTGTTGTTCATTTTTATAAAACTTGTCGTTTGGTAAACATATGCATACTACATAGGGACAAAATTGAGGTAGCAAGGCTAGACTAAGCCAAGCAGGTGATGACCATGGGCCGAGCCATTAAGACCCTCGGAGTGGAAGCGGGCGAGCCCTAGATTAGGGGCTGGATTGAGGCAAGTTGATGTGGGTTAGCTAGGATTGAGGTGAGCCCTTTACCTAACAAGGCTAATGGCAATTCGAGTAAAACCTAAGCAGATATTAGTTAATTTAAGGTGCTTGGCAAATTGGATAAGACTTACTCGTCTAGAATTACGTGTCATATATAGTCTCAAAGATTTTATGAGATTAATATGAGAATGTTCTATTATATAAGATAACGGATTGCTTTGTGAATATTCCACATAACAAAATGGTGATCTCTCTTATTAAGGAATGATGACACATGTAAGTTATTCTCAAATGGTTCTCGGAGGGCAAGAGAGCTGGACTTTATAAAAAAGAGTAAAACCTCATCATTTTTTAGGGAAACAAGCACTATACACTCCCAAAAAAATAAAAATAAAATTATCGTCCTTGTTTAAGGAGAATACACTTTGAACTCTAATTTTCTACATTTTTGTCTGATCATTGACTTGACCATTTGAGCTACTTGTCCAGGCAAACACTCGGTCCGATAGCATTAACAATGCACTCAAGTGTGCATATTACATTTCCTGGATTTCTTTTACAAATTGCAGAGCTCCAACTCCATTTGTGCAGAAATCACTCCCACACATGCTTAATTTAGTTTTCTTTTTAAAAAAATTGAAAAAAGGAAAAAAAAAGAAACATGTAGATAATTTTAGGGAGACTTATGCATAGGTCTTAATAGGTGGACTTCTTATCTAATAAGTCATATCATAATTAATGGCGTTTTTATCAAACACTATTAAAAAATGTTATTAATTGTTAATTTTTAGCGACACTTTAAAAAATTGTTACAAAACAAATCACTAATTTTTAATTTTTAACTATAGTTTGAAAATTGTCATAAAAAAGTCGTTAATTGTAAGTTTTAGCAACAATTTATAAAAATCATAACAAAAAAAAGTTATTAGTTGTCAATTTTTAACGACATATGCAAAAAAATCGTTACAAAAAATTGTTTTTAACGACAATTTTATTAGAATTTATTTTCAATAAGACTTGATGAGAATTAAGTCTAACTATTAGAACTTATTGATATTTTATCCACTTTTAAGGGTGAGTCAAAACCAAATGCAACTCCTACCTTCAGGAAGAAGAACATCAAATGGAGAACCTTTCAAAGAAAGTTGAAGGTAGCATTAATACATTTGTCATTGTAATTACTCCATTAAAGAAGAGTAGCACCATAACCATAAAAGGCATAAGTGGGAGTCCTCAACTTCCAATATATATTTCAGTAGAAAGTTGAGAGAAAAAAAGTAGGAGAATAGAGGCATGCCCAACCCAACAATTGTATTTGGATTGAATAAAGACAATTCACTTATATTATCTCCTTTCCAACCCTTCCTCTCTCACTACTTTTTGTGCTTTCCCTCTTCAGCAATCCATTCTTTTTTTATCAGTTTTGTAGGTATGGGTTTTATGGGGCTCACATTTCTCAATTTTGATTAACAAGGCTATAAACGTAGCCGATTGTTAATTTGTTTATTTTTTGAAATGATCTCAAGTAAACTTTATTTGAGATGACTATGAATTAAGTTTGAATAGTTTGATTTTTTGTAATGTATATATATTTTTTTAAGCTGAGTTCAATTTGAGCTAAAAAAATTTTACAATATTCAAAATATGCTCAAGTTTTGTTTGTTTACATAAACAAATTTTGAACGAACTTTTATCGAGCCAAATAAATAGATTTAAACATAACTTTAATGGATGACCAATTTTATCAAGCCAACAAATAGATTTAAACACAGCCTAAGAAGTGACCAATTGTTTTGAACCATATATGAGTATGTATCCACATGTGCCTCTAAGTGATGAGAGAGAGAGAGGATTTGGAATTCGACCTCCCCTTATAAGCTCTCAAAAACATATATAGAACATTCTAGGGCTTAATTCAATTACAATTAAGGTACATTGGGCTTTTAAGTCACTTAATTTACAAAGACTTATAATCTTTTTCCATATAATGGAGCAAAGTTGATAGATTTTAGAGTATTGTCCAAAAGATTAATTTGATTATGGGATAAAATTGTAATTAAAAATATATATCTATACTAAGTGCGTCAATTGAACATTTTTGGTGTGCGAATATAGAAACTCTCAAAGACACTTCATTCAATATCGAAATTTTGTAAAAAAAAATAAATTATGTTTATATCATTACCATATTTGTTTGCATTAGTGGCCAAGCCCCACCTCAATAGAATTCTCTACTTATTATTTTTTAAAAAAAAAGAAAAAAAAAAAAAAACCCACCACCTTCAAAGAGTGTCCACCACACCTCCATATCTCTTCTTCTTCCTCATCATCTTCTTCCTCATCAACTCTCATGATTGCCTTCCTTTTACATTCATGGCTTCCAACAAAACATCTCTTCATAACTCCAACATGTCAACCCTCATTCTTGATCTTGAGCAACAAACCACCTAGAACCAGAAAAAAAAAAATTAAAAGGTCCTAATGGCTCTGCCCAACGCTCCTAGCAGCCAACAACGGGTTGGTCTTCACTGCCTCTTTAATGATGGGTGTTGGAGCTATCAAACAAGACATTAAGGCCATTATCTTAACCGGCTTTGCCGGTTTAGTGGCCGGTGCTTGTAGCATTGTCATCGGAAAGTTTGTCTCCGTTTACTCTCAACTTGACATAGAAGTGGCTCAAATGAAGAGGGGCAAGAAAAGAGGAGACAGTGAGAAGAAAAAAACGAGTGAGGATCAAGTCTAATGCAGGCGGCTGCAGCTTCGGCTTTCGCATTTTCAGTGGGGGCAATGGTGCCATCACTAGAAGCATCAATTGTAAGAGAGTACAAGGTGAGAGTAGGGGTTGGTGGTTGGAGTAGTGAGCATGGGTTTGGTGGTGTTTGCATGGTTGGACTGTGTTAGGGAGGGCACCACCAGCTATGTCTATTGTGGAAGTCTTAGTTGGAGGGTGATTAGCTATTGCCATAATCTTTGGATTGACAACGCTTATTAGTTCAAGTGGGCTGTAATGAAATCTTGTATGTTTAGTTTTTCCAAAATGCTATATACCACAAATATTTATCTCAAAATCAACTACAAAAGTGAGGTGTATGATCTAATATTAATAAAATATGAACCACACTCTTAATGAATGTAATTCATTAGTTTACTTTTTGGATAATTTTTTAATTTTTTTTATTATATATTTAGCGTTGTTAGTTTTATCATGGTCATTTGGATATTGGATTTGGAGCATGATATCCAAAGAAAAGAAAAGAGATATATGTTTCAAAGGTAATTATTCAATAATCTTACCATGCGATACTATCCCCTCCAAATCAATAATGTAGCGAAAACTAGGACAATATTGATCTATCTTTGTTAAGTAGTTGAAAGACAAAGAAGACCACCTGATTTATTTTACAGTTCCCCATTTATTAAGAACACTCATAAGCAATATATGGCCAGTTTGGTACAACTTTTCCCAAGCAACAAATTGATAATCAAAAAATATAACCATAACACTCATTTTCCCAGTTTCTAGATATTCAGCTTTTTCACTTATGTAAGTTGTTTCTACCTTATAAACTATGAACAAAGGTACACCAAAGCTTCCAAAATAAAATATACAAATTATAAACTTTAAAAAAAAACTATAAGCTGCACTAGGCAACACCATATTATTCTAGGACTATTTAATAATTTTTTCATGGTTTAATCAAGGGTAAATCCAAAAATATTTTCACCCCAAAAATGCCCTAACATTTTCAAAATTTGATCACCAAGCAAGATTTTGGCAACTCCAGCTTCACCCAATTAAAAGACCAAAAACAGGGATTTAGCATCCCTGACCACCATTATCAATGAACTTTTATACCCTTAGGTTTCCTTTCCAAAATGAAAAAAGAAATTGATCCCCATTTCCTATAATGTTACTAATTCTAAAGTAACTAAAGAAAATTGAACCAAATGCAGTGTGTACTACAAAGAGCCACCCAAACAATGGGATCCAAGCCTTCTGCTGGAATTTTTTAAGGCAAAATTCTACATCATCAGTTGGCCAAGATAGAGAAAAACTGGTGGGAGTCAAATATGCAAGGTCTTGGTAACTGACAAAATGAAATCAAGAAACAGAACAAAATGAAGAATTCAATGATTGCTTAACGTATAGAAAAGAATCGTTAAAGTGCTTAGAAGACACAGATGTTAAGCCATCTTCTGACAGCTATATCATATTACTCTCATCTTTGTACTACTGCATTGCTTTCATACAAAGAACCTTGTTTATGATCACAGCAATAAAACTTAACAAAATACCCACAAAAAAAGAAAAAAACAAATAGCAAGGAAGGTTGACTTTGTTGTGATTGTAAAGAAAGGGAAACAAAATTGGGTATGAATTTTACCATATACTATCCCTTCATAAATACCTGTCACACTTCCAATCTATCTTGTTCAAGACACAACTCATTCCCGCCCAAAAAGAACCTCAGTCTCTTCACAATACACAGGCGCAGTTCCGATAGCCCTTGATCATATCTGAAATGATGAACTTCTTCACCAATAAGTCGAAAGTTCAAAACTAATTTTATTGTATCTTGAAGAGGTTTTTCAGTTTCACAACCAGCTTCCACTCATCAATAGACAGGTCATCCTGCAAAATTTTCAGTTGCAGTAAGCAACCAGATGTTATTTACTATCCCCATGTGCTACACAAAACCACGTGGAGAATTCAATTCTACTTACCCGATAATTAGCTTTAAGTATATCAATCGACCTCCGAGAGATATGACTGACGAGCTCATCTTCCATCTCAAAATGCCTGCCAAACATTTTTTGTTGCTCCTCCGGATTGCTACCAACTATCTGCAGAAGCACAAAAAGATTACCAATGAACCCAATTTTATTGTCCAAGTGTTAACTAAGACATGACAGACTGATTTGAACACATGAAACAGACAAAAAATCCCAAAAAAAATAACAGACATGTCAAAAACCATGTAGATATACAGATCTCATACCTTAATAGCCACCTTCTGGCCCTTTTTAGCATAATCAACTGGCTTGTGATTATTCTCAATAGATGCGATTCGACCAATATCAATAAACTCCCTCTGAGGTATACAAATTGGAGTTCCAACCTGCGTAAAGCAGTTTACATGGTATCAGATGCTTTTTGACACAAAGAAGACAATGAATTTGCATCTGTTTTTTTCTTTTAACTTTGGGGCAATTTTGAAATTGTTGCTAGAAGTACATATACAATAACTTCCAAATGATTTTACATATAACTGAACTTGCAGTACAACAGAATCTTCAAAGCCAATGCCCAAAACACCAAAACATTTCTGATATATCTAAGAAGGGAAGAGATAAACATGTCAACATAACTGAGAGACTGCACCTTATCCCATGTCAAAAAAAAAAAAAAAAATTGAAAATTAGGAATTACACAACAATTCAAGTTAACTAAAATGAGTATTGCAAGCAAACAACTTCTAAGGCAACAGATTCAGGGAAATAACTGTATTATAAGGATAAATTCAGGACTAAAACGAATTAGGAGAATAAAGTGTATAGTCAAACTGGAAAGGCTTTTAAGATGAAACACCATTTTATTTTATTTTATTTTATTTTTGTTAAGCACCTTTGATAGGACCGCGTGGAGAAGAAGGATTCATGTAGCCGACCGCATTTGATGGGACTTAAGGCTTGGTTTTTGGTTTTTGGTTTGGTTTTTGTCAAGCAATAAGATTCAATAAAAATGCATTAAGGTAATGCCACCCAAGTACTGGAAGGAAATAGGTTGTTTGGGAAGTTGGATATTAGCACACTTGTTTATCTTTTTATTTTTATTGGGTCACATCACCTCTCTACTTTTTTGCACATTTTTTGTACAAAGTCGAAAAGTACACTTATTTAATCGAGAATCAAAGAGTCCTACAAAATCTAGGAATTGGTTGAGAGAAGGATTGATAATACCCAACTCTCAACTGTACAAAAATCTAATAAACGAGTTTTAAGCCTAAACAATGGACCCTCCATACCATCAAAAGGCATTTGATTCTGCACCCCCCAGATGATCCACATAATTACATAAATAAAAGGAATCAATATTCACATCTTCCACCTCCTCTTCCCCACATGAGACCCCCGCCAACAATGAAGAAGCTCCTCTGCTCCAAAGGGAAAAACCCACTTCACCCTGAACCAAGAGAGCACCAAAGTCCAAAGCTCTCTCACAACATGGCAATGGATGAGAAGGTGATTGGGCAATTCAGCCTTTGCTTGAACATACGATAATACCACATCAATTCACTACCACTTCGTTTGCTTCAGATCAATTATCAGTAGTAAGAATCAAACCATGAGTTTGTACAACACACACACACACAAACATCAATGGGGAAGTCCTGGACCCCCATATCGCAATCCATGGAAACAAAGAAAACAAAGAAAAATGGCAACCAATTTGAGCCTCATTAAAGATTTCACAAGAAAGCTACCCAATCTAGAGTGATTCCATCTCAACAAGTTCTCCCCCTTCTCAATATTGGACATCCCATACGATTTGTTAATGAGCCATATCGACTCTACCAACTCCCACTCCTGCACCTCTCTACGTAACAAAATATTCTTGGAAACTCAACTAATGGATTGCTAAATGTAATAAAGGCTTTAAAGTTTCATCTTATGAAAACAGAAGGCAAAAATTAGGCAATTTCCTGCAAGTGGAATAGCGCAACATGCAAGGAATAAAACAAAATAACCAGTAATAATGATGATTATGATGGTAATGATTACCTTAGCAATGCCTTCAAGAATGTCAACCCCCAAAACAATGGGGTCCTTCTTGTTAAAAACGCAATTCGGCATAATCTTGAGAACACATGGGAAGACTGCCTCTTCAGAAGCTTCCTTCTTCTTTTCCTCCTTGAGATTGTCAATGTAGGCCTTAAACTGGTCAAACAAGTGATAAATAATATCAGCAATGAATATCTTGACACCAGCTTCATCCGCAAGTTCCCGAGCTTCCGGCGTCACTTTAACATCAAAGGCCAAGATTGTGGCATATTCTTTTTTCTTCTCAAGCATGACACTAGCCTTCATGACATCCTTCTTATGTACAGGGCCTATGCTTATACCACTAACAGGTATTTTCACGGCTGGTGATTTCAAGAACTCCAGCAACGCTTCCAATGATCCAAGAGTAGAGGCCTGAACACAGACTCCCTCACCAGTTTTATCAATCCTGCTCATTACTGACTTCATATCTTCCATGGCCGCTTCCTTCATATCTTCTAAATCATCATCAGGCCCCACCACATATAGAGCAGTGCCTGCAATCGCATGCTCAAGGCCCTAAAAGGAAAAAATAGATACCATACCAATAAGGAGAAGAAAAATATATTTTGTCAACAGGAGCACAATTCACAATGTTCACCATGAATGAAGCTAATACGAGCGTGCCAAAGAGTGTTAGTTGGGATTGTCTACCTATGTTTTGCACTATATGGATAGGTATGCAATGAGGCGCATGTACATGTATCAGAATGATAAGTCTGGTTACTGGATGAGATGGTTCATTGAAATGAAATTTCTCAAAAAAGTAGGTAACACAAAAATGAGGTATTACTCTCCTGAAATTTCTCATTTGTGTGAGCCTCTACAATTTGAGTTTTTATCATCTTATCCCTTTCATATCATAGCTATTGAGAAACATCATTTGAATTTTTGAAATAATATATGCTATGCCAAAACAGGTGGAGAAGGAAACAAAATGGAAGTAAAATAAAATAAATTTATGTTGAATATTGACATTACCTGTGCAGTAATCTTGATACCCTGGGCAGCCTTGATTTCTTTATGATGCAGATAAGTACCCTGAAATTGAACAACCATTAATGGTCAAATACTATTGGATAAATTGAACTTAACATAGTACCGAAAAAATTACTGGACAAAACCAAAAGCACATCTAACGTAGAAAAAGGTTTGGTCTCCATTGTGTGATGAAAGGAAAGATCATTCACTAAATTGCTTTACCTTTCAAGTTCTTAAAAAAAAATTACGCCTACATACTGGATCTTAAGGTTTACAAGAAAACAAATTACATTTGGACTAAGAAGTACGGATACTTCTAAAAAGGTAACATGCCATGTCCAACACCAACACAATACTTCCTAACACAACCACACAAGAAACACATTACAAATTTAAATTAAATAACTTAGGATCCAATGATAAAAAATTTTAAAAAAAATGTAATTTATACCTATTTTTCTCCTTTAGATTTTAAAATTATTATCTTTGACTTAAATATGACATAAAATAAGTATTTCTCTTTACAAAAGTATGGCATGTTTTTTGAAGAACTCATGCTTCATGGTATAAATGTATGGGTGTATGCTATATGATTTTATTGATTCCAAACCTCTTACATATTAACATTCAATCAAATGATTAATGAAACAACATTTTCTAGTTGAAATAGAGGTGGACATGAAGCTATATACTAGACTCTGAGAGTCAAAGTTTCAAAAAGCGGTTGCAGTTGTTGTAACAGTTAAGGTAACTGGAACCGTGAATTTTTTTATTTTTCACACAAATTAGAAAAAAAAACCTTACCCCGATACGTATAATTTTTTTCATAATCACATTTATTGATATTTAAAATAGATTTTGATTAATTTTTGTTAGTTTTTAAGTATGATCCAATATATTTTATATTTTTAAATCACTATAAAATGAGCTTTTTGCATTTTAGTTCAATAGTTAATGATTTTATATGTCATAAATTCATATTGTACCTCTTATTTTTATTTATTTTTTAAGAATAATTGATTTTAACTATCTACAAAATTATTTTTAACCAATACCGAACTAACTAAATAAAAAATGTTTACAATTATTAAATGAAATGATTATAAAAATAAAAATTGACACAAACAAAAATTATTTTTTAGCTACTAAATATTGTAGAATGTGTATAATCTATATTTTGTATTTTTTTTTTTTTAAAGGAAGCTATTCAGAATATTGTAAATGTGTATAACAGTGTATAATAGGCCCTTACGGCCATTACGTAACACCGAAATAGCCGTTACACGTGTGAAATTTTGTCACACCGCAAAAGCGGGTGCAACGAGTAGTGCCTACTGCCGCAACCATTACGTAATAACCGCAACTGTTATGTAACACTGCTTTTTGAAATCTTGCTTACGAGCGTATGATACTTCCTATGGTACTTTTGCATACGTACCAGATATATGAAACACATATCCAAATTTTTTCTCCTTAATTTTTGGCGTACTCAAACATATCTAGTTAGTATATACCCAAATCGTACTGCACCGTACCTTAGTCAAAACAATATTTTCTTCTATTATAGAGATAAAATTCCTTTCACTAAAATTCTTTTTTAATTTTAATTTTATACTTAGCATGATTTGAGAATTAAGTTATGGTTTGTAAGTTATTTAATATAATGGCATTTAATTTTGATTCATACCTTTACTTTTGACATTAAATGTTAATTATAGGTCAGATCTTAATAAATTAAACCATTTAATCAATTTTTGCATTACTTCAAATAAAAAATAAATTTTTTTACAACTGTACCGAGCTGTACCCGTACCCGTACCCTATTTTTTTTTTAAATTTACCGTATCAATGTACCCATATCGTACCAATACCCGTACCCGTGCTTCATAGCATTTATACATTCTAAATTTTGATTCCATAAAGATTTTAACAGCCACATTAAGATAACCTATTATTATGGATTTATATAACTAAACTGAAAAAAAGTTTATGGTTCTAGTTCATGCTACAAGATTTCTGCCTAAGCAACATCTTGCCTCGCTGTTTCTTCTCTTTGTACATCTTGCCTAAGCAACATCATGTATATTTACAACTAGAAGCCTAAAGAACATTCGACACCATAGGTCAAATTTTTCCATAGGTCAAATTTGACTGTGTTACTCATCAATCAATTTATCTCCCTACCTCGCTTATTGACACAAGACACATGCATACACACAAAGGTTGATTATCCAACTACTCCACATCATTATGCATTATGAGCAAGCACCTACTGAGACAATGTGTCTAGGCTTCCTTTTTATCATTTCCTATAGTACCACCACAAGCATTTCATACTCTTTAAAATTTTCCCGGGTTCCAAAGTATGCAACTGGAAATCCAAATTCTCATCTGTCAGCCTAAAAAACAATCTATTCCAACATGATCTTAAAAAAAACACAACCCAAATTCCAAAAAACAAAGTAATTCTATTAGTCAAAAGATATCAGACAATTATATTGGTCAATATACCACAGGAACAAGAAATCAAATCAAATCTGCATGATTGACAAGATATGGATGCTAACATCCATCACAACTTCTACAATAAAAAAATTTATGCAGTAGACAACAACAAAGTAAGATGGGAAGCCAAAATGCAATAATCACTATAAAGTGTGGCAATGTAGCTATACACAATTCCCAAAACAACTCCTCTTCATACATTCCTTTTAAATCCATAGTTTCATACATCTTTCTTAGGCCTTTTTTGGGGTACCCTAAAAAACCCAAAAAGTCACTATCCTATTTAAGTTACATCATCTTATTTAAGTCGCATCACCTCTCTACCACATCACTTCAAACACAACCCATATTTCATAAAAAGTCAAAAAGTGCACTTATTAGATCATCCCAAACCACCCCATAATATCATTACTGGGAAGAGACATGTAGTTAAAGTATAATGTCAAAAACTATTCAAAAAAGAAAAAAGAAAGTTCATAGATATGCACATAGAAAACCCAAAAGGAAACCTAACCTTTACTCGGAGTTCCTTCATTGGATGGGGTGTCAGTAATGCTCGAATTGAGGTAACAATAGGTCCCTGAAAATAAAAATCATATCTAAGATATTGACAACCAACTTTGCTTTAAATCTTAGGCAGTGACAAGGAATTAATACTTGCCTGCATGCCACAAACAACTATTTGATCTCCTTCGTGAAGCACACCATTAACTAACACCACATCGATGGTTGTCCCATGGCCTTCAATAACCTTAACCTCCAGAACTGTACACTGGAAAAGAGTTCCAAAACACAACCAATTATCACACATTCCCAACATCTCTACAATCAACAAACCAAGGAGATATTGCACAGGGAAGATGTGGCGTGGGAAGGTGTTAGTTATACCTGCACTTCATTACTGTACGTAAGTTTCTCAATCATTGTCTTCTGAGTCCATTGAACTAGCAATAGCAACATATTAGGAATGCCTTCACCACTGTTGCAACCACAAACCCAAATATCAGGACACTGGTTAGGAAATATCTGTTTTTGTTGGATTTGCTGCAGAAAAACTTTGAACTAGCCATAACAAGAACAGATCAATAGTCCATGAGAAATACCTGATTGCACTTGTAGGTACAATACTATAAGTTTCCCCCATTTCTTTGTTTTTATAGTATAATTCAGTGTTTAACCCTTGTTCCTTTAACTGGGTAATAACCTGAAACGGTCACGAAAAACAATTGTAACAAGGTCCACCATACATACAAATCATACTGAGAGAAAGGATGGTATATATAAGACCTGAGTCAGCCTCGTATTAAATTCCATTTGGACATCTTTGGTTTGCTGCTTCATTGCCTTCACAATTGGTGCGTTCTTGCAAACTTTCCACCCATAAAGTCTGTCCACCTGCAAGTTGAAATCAAAGAAACAAAATAAACATAATGGGAATATATTCAAAAATGATATGTACACCAAGGGCAACATTGCCGTGTAATCCCCACCTTATTCAATGCAACGATAAATTCAGTATTCCTCATTTTCAGAAGATTGAGTGATTCAATAGTCTGTGGTTCTAGGCCATGCATTATGTCAACGACCAAAATTGCGATGTCACATAAACCTGAACCCCGAGACCTTAAATTAGTGAACGATTCATGTCCAGGGGTATCAATAACCAATAGACCTGGGACATTCAGCTTTGCATCAGCTTTCAGTTCCTTTGTCCTCTCTCGTATGTTATGTGCTGGAAAATATGTTGCACCAATTTGTTGAGTAATCCCGCCAGCTTCACCTTCTTGAACGTTAGTTCCGCGGATACAATCAAGCAGCTTGGTTTTACCAGTATCGACATGACCCATAATGCAGCATATTGGAGATCGGAGATCAATTTCACTATGGTTAGGCTGAGCATCTGAACTTGGTGTTTCCTTCTTCCCTGTAGGCTTTGCAGCAGTGACTTTTGGGGCAGCAACTGCTGGCTTTGCAGCCACAGCAGGAGGGCCTGAATCACGGCTAGCTGATTGGGCACTCCTTACCTCTTTTTTAACCACAGGTTCAGGCTCAGAGTCAGCCTCTTCATCTGCAAATGCACTTTTACCCGGCAGTTTTAGATCAGCATCATCCCAACTCTTTGCATCCCATTCATCCTCATCTTCTTCTTCTTCAATTCCATTCTCTTCAACCACATCGGCAACTTCTGTTTTCTCCTCCACACTCATTGCATCCACTTCTTCAATCTTCTCCGGTTCCATGGAATCAACCTCCGAAACAACCTCCTGCTGGTTTTCCTTTGCTTCTGTGATTTCGACATCCTTTGCAGGGGCCATACCATTTCCTTGAGAATGATGTGGCTTTGACTTCTTCGTTTGATACTTGGGCCGTTTTGTTGAGGCACCAACACCATCGGCAGTAGGGAGAGGCAAACCTCCGGCATTAGCAAGTATTTGATTCCTCATTGCCTCCAATCGCTTTGCTTCTTCCTTCTGTTTCCCCGTTAAAAGCCTTCCTTCCTGTTTCTTCTTTAAAAGCTTCTCCTTTTCCTTCTCTTTTCTCAAGCGTTTTTTCTCTTCTGCTTGCCTTTCGAGTTCTTCTAGCCGCTTTCGCTCTTCCTCTTCCCTCCTTAACTTCTCCTCTTCTTCCCTCTTCTTCTTTTCCTCCAGTTCCTTAAGCTTGGCAAGTCTCTCCTGCATCTCTCTAACATGCTTTGGGACTTTTTTATCCGTTGCTTTACCCTTGGTTTCATTCTTTGTTTCTTGAGGTTTTTCTTCCTCTGCTGGTGCAGCTGGTGCAGCTGTTGCTGCTGCTGCTACCGCCTTCTTTTCTTTCTCTTTTTCTTTCTTCTTCTTCTTCTTCTTCGCAGCAGCAGATTCCAAACCACCTTCTTCCACAGCTTCCTTTTCAACTGTAGCATCCAACGAACCAACTGATTCTGGCTCAATCTCAGCTTTGCCCTCTTGGGGAGGAGGAGCAGGACCAGGTTTTGATATAGGGGGTGCTTCACCAAGCTCTGCAAGAATTTTGTCAAGGTCATCCTCTTCTTGTGCAGTTCTTCCACCCTTCTTTTTCTTCTTTTTGTTCTTTGAAGTTTCTGCTACAACTTCATTAACCTGTTTGTTACTTTTGGAATCATCAGCTTCTTTATTACTTGTACTCGCATTAGGTTGTTCAGGTTCAACCACATCTGCCAATTCATCTCCAAGCCCAGAATCAAGTGCACTGGAAACACTATTATTCTTCTTTTTGGAAGGCTTCTTTTTACCAGAAAACATAATCACTGATTCATCTTCATCTTGAATACTGAACTCATCATTAGTTGCATCACCACCAGATTTAGAGACAGATGCACCCGCGTCATTTTCTTCATCATCGACAAATGGAGCACTAAACAAGCTACTACTCTTCTTTGAAGACTTTGGAGATTTCTTCTTCTTACCAGAAAAAGTAATAGCAACCTCGTCATCCTCTTCCACTTTAACTTCATCCATCCTTTCACTCTCATCATCAAGCGCATCAAAACTAGACGATGCATGCACATTACCGCTACTTTTCTTAATTGATTTCGATGGTTTCTTCTTCCCTGAAAAAATAATAACCGGTTCATCATCATCATCATCAACAACATCCCCATCCCCATCCCCATCATCAGCGATTGCATCAAAAGCCGACCCCTTGAACAAATTACTATTACTCTTTTTCGACTTTGACGACTTTTTCTTCCCCGAGAAAGCTGCTACAGGCTCATCCTCATCATCACTAACAACATCATCATCCTTATCACGAGACACACCAGACTTTTCATCATCATCATCCTCCCCATCATTATCCTCATCCTCAAGTAACCCAAAACTCGAAGCACTAAACAAATTCTTATTCCCACTCTTCTTGGACTTAGACTTCTTCTTCCCGGCAAATTGTATAGCCGAAACATCGTCCTCCTCCTCCTCAGCATTATTTTCTTCAAAGTCGTCATCTTTAGGCTGTAAATTCTTAGAATTCCCCTTCTTCCCCTTCTTCTTCCCACCACCACCACCAACTTTCTCCTCCTCGACTGTTTGTTCCTCCGAAAACTCAGTCCCTACCGAGTACTCATCATCATCAATCACCGGCGCCTTCTTCTTCGATTTCCCTCCGCCACCCTGGGCGGCAGTAGTGGCGGCGGCGCCGCCACCATCGTCATCGCGGGCGGTAGGCTTCTTTCGACCCATCTAGGTTTCGAGATTTCGACAGATGACAAATATAGATCCTCCGAAAACCCTAACAATAAATCAATAACCAGAATCAGAATACACAAAACTAAATCAACTGAATTAGATCTATTATATAAATAATTATTATTTATGAGTGCTCATATAAGAGATTAGATTGATGAGAATCAAATCAAATCAAATTCATATACAACAACCCTAATTTGCTAAAAACCTATACATATTGGGCATGGAGAGAGCACTCACCTGGATGATCAGGAGACGAAAAGTGATCGGAAAGAGGTGTGTGTAGAGAGTAAGCTAATATAGAGATAGGTTTGTGAGTTTATATGTATATGTATATGTATGTGTAGGGTAAATAGGGTTTGCGTTACAGATTGGCTTTAGAGGGCAAAACACAGAGAGAAAGAGCGCTCAGATAGGAATGGCTCAGATAGGAATGGTAAGTGATTGGGACTCTGGGAGGACAAAACTGGAAGAAAGAGCGCTTCTATGTCCACCCACCAAAAATTCTCAATTCACACGGTTTTTTGTTTAGGAAAATTTACCCATAAGTCCTAGTTTTTGAAACGTTGAACCATTTAGTCCTAAAAGTTTTTTTATGCTCCATTTAGTCCCATTTTTACATCAACATGATGTGAATGATGTAAATGATCTGATGTTTCATTCTATAATTTCAAAATTTATTGAAATCTGATGAACATTAGATGTTTTTCATCCTATATTTTCAAACATTATTGAAATTTGATGAACATTAGATGTTTGAAATCCAATGTTTGTAACATGACTCTGATGTTATTAACATTGTATCTGATGTTATTAACATTGTAATGGGACCTTTCAGTCTATAAAAAAATTTTTAGGACTAAACAGTGCATAAGTTATTAATTTGGGATTTATTGGTGCATCGCCTTTTGTTTAATTATGATTTTATTAGTTAGTCAAATTATTCTTTTGAACAAAATTTCACACTCGAACCACCAGCCGCCGCTGCCACAGTTGCGAACCACCTCACTTTGGTGATTTTTTATTGGTTTTTTTTTTAATTTAAACCGTTTTGGTTTAATTTTTGAAATGAGTTTTGAATTTTAAATTATATTTTGAAAGATAAGTTTTATAAGGGAGAATTTTTTTTTAAGGTTATGCTATTAAGATTTTATATAATAAAGAACATGCAATATTTTCATAGTGATTGAGATCTCTCAACATTTTTTTAGAGAAATTTCGCTCCAGAGAAATTTCGCTTCAAACACATGGAGAGAAATTTCTCTTGTTTGAAAATTTTCTCTCTCCGTGTTTAAAAATTTCTCTAAATCAAAATTTCAAACTAGATTAGTTTCTTTCTTTGTGTTTGGAAATTTATTTTGGTTGAAATTTCTCTAGTTTGCTCACAAATTTCTCTGTTTTGACTAATTTTCTCTATGTTGAAATTTTGCTCATAAAATTATCTGTGTTTTGATCAATTTTCTCTAGTTTAAAATTTCTCTGATTTAATCATAATTTTTTGTCTCTATTTTCACCAAACCACAAAAAATTGATCATATTTATATATATATATATATATATAGAAGTTAGACCCCAATTCAATACTTCTCTTTCATTCTCTTTCATTTCTCTCTGTAACCATAATTGTCCTCTCCACCATTTAGCTTGTTTTTCTATATACATATATATCTAAAAAATGAATCCAAAAGATAAATATGAATATACATACATATTGTGATGCCCCATAAATAGCAAACATCAGAGAATATATTAACAATTAAATACAGGGTTTATCTAAGTTTAGAAGTCTAGGAAACGGCATTAATGAGTCCTATGACCAATAACCAAGTAAAATCCCAGATCGTCGAAGGAGTCAAGTTAGCCTTCCTTTTAAGTCCAGCTTTCTCGTGTAGCGCACTATCCTTTTAACAGATCTTAAAAGGTATTGACGCAAGATCTCATAAGAAAAACAGAGATAGACATAGGATTACAATATAAATAATAATTACAGTGTCTCAAATTTTAAATTTACAAAACGAGTCCTATTACTATTACAATCCAAGAATAAATAAAAGCACAATCAAACTAATAAGCGAAATGGTTTCGAACTTTCTCTAAGGCAAACTTAAGTCTTCAAATGTCTTTGACTCTTCGTTGGCTTTGTACATTTATTCGATACCTGGCATGAAACGTTATGAGTTGTGAATGCCCAGTAAACACACACACACACCCCGTCCCTTTTTCCCAATCTAATACACAACAGCATTTACAAAAAACAGAGGAAAGGGGGTCATGGCATTTAAGTTCATAGAACAGATTATATGGTTAGCTGTTAGAAGTCTAGAAATCCCCCAAAGAGATTTCGTTCTCCTAACCACAAGAATCGAACACAAATTATTCGGTATGTCCCCTCTTTTGCTACTTTGTTGCAAAACTTACCTCGGATGCCTAGCAATGGTTATATACCGTGTAGTGCTAATTGTAGGGCCTTAAAAGAGACGGTAATAATGGGCCCTGCCCAAATCCCTCCTTATATCAAATACCTAGGTCCGAATACAATTGCTCCGTTCAAGGGTTCCGAAAATCAGATTTTCTCACAAAATCGCTCACTTGTTTTCAATGAAACCAATTTTCCTTTGGAAGCTAACTCCTTGAGAAAGATTTTGACATAAAATGGAGGTCCAAAATATTTTTATACATTTTTCTAAAATTTTCGCAAAGTGGCTATAAAATAGATTTTTCTCACACAGTTTTTGAAAATAGAAATTTGATGAGAAAAAGGGTCAGCTAGGGGAAATTTTCCACTTCTCTTGTGATGAAAACATACTAAATAATATGTGTTAAACTCAGAAATTTAAGGTGAATGTGTGCCTTTGAAAATTTTAAGAGATTGATATGGAAAAAGATAGTCTTATACCAATTAAGAGAAATAGAATAATAATAAAATCAAAGCTCAACTCCTTTCATTTTGAACACAAAAATACTATTAGAATACATCTGAAAATACCATTTTAAACTTCTAATAACATGTATTTGAAAAAGCAAAATGAAAGAGAGAGTCGTGTTGTGGCTTACTTGAGGGTTGTTGGAATTGCTAGCAAACATTTTCTTCCTCTCCTCTCATCTACCAAGCTCACCCTCCTTCATTTCTTCTCTCTCAGCTAAAAATAGTGTGTATAAGTGTTGTTCTTGTATGTAAAATGCTAAGGGAGGGGTTGTTTATATAATGAATTTGGTGCAAAAGGTCCTAAATGCCCCTTGGTTGGAATTGGATTGGATAGTTTGGATTTAGTTTGAATTCAGTGGAATAGTAGAGGATTAAAGGTCTTAATTAAGTTCCTAAATATGATCTAGTTAGGGTTTTCCTCATAATCAAACCAACCTAGTTGTATATATATATATATATAAGTTTGTACCAAGTCAAAGATTTTCTTCCTTAAATCATGCAAAATTGTCTCAAAAAGTACATTTATCATGTCTATGTTGATATGGCTAGCCATAAATGACGATTTGAAGGACTTATTATATATATATATTGTGTACAAACCTTGAAAATTGTAAAATATAATGTTAAGAAAAGATTTTAGGGTACAGGTGTATATATAAATATATAATGATATTTGTTTGGGGTTAATTTGTGATTTAATAAAAATGTGAGGGCTTCGGCTCAATTAAAGTATATATTTCAAGTGTAGAGTTAATAAATTAGTTTTAGGAAAAATAATTCAGTTTGTATTTTCCTACTTTGAATTTAAAGGTAAATAACCGAACGAAAACTGTGAAAACCAAAAGTTAAGGTTTAGAGTGACTAATCTAAAATTTGAGAGTTAAATAATTAATATTAGAGTATTATAAATAATTTCTAAACTTCCAGGGTCGATTAGAGTTTGTATGGGTTCGTCCGTGATGTGTTTTCGGTTCTAGGGTTTAATTTGGGAATAATTGATGAACTAAGGGCTTTATTATAATAACTCAAAATTTAGGGACCTAATAAGGTTTACAAAAGTTAGGGGTTTCACAACATCATTATCACCGTGAACTTGGTGATGATAATATATATACAAATCACCCAAATCAACAACACACACAGATTATATATATATATATATATAGATTATATATATATATATATGAATATGAACTTAGCGAAGAGAAAGAAGTGAGAGATTCTTGAGAAGATTGGGATAGGAGAATGCCCAATCGCCATTGATGTGGAGCTTGGACTCTTGTTTTTCTTCGTTTTCATCATCATCATCATTATCTCCGATCTTGTTTGGTGTGAGATGGGTGAGTTTGGGAGTAAGAATCTCCACTGGTTAAAAGTTTAGGAAGTATTGAAAGATGAGTAGTAGTAGCTTTAGAATGTGTAGTAATGTCATAGCGCACAGAGAGAGAAGAGAGAATTAGAGAGTATGTGGGGCATATAGGGGTGGTAAGGGACCTTAGGCAACAAAAAAAAAATATTTTGGACCTCTCTCATTACTAAAAGTTAGAGAGAGATGTTAGACGAAATATCTTTTTTTTTAAATGAGTTTTGAAAAGAGAAAACTTGCTTTGGTTATGAGTTTTAGAAAAAGTTTTGAAAAGAATTTTGAGTTTTGAGTTATATTTTGAAATTGTTTTGGATTTATTTTTTTAAAATATTTAAAAATTTCTTAATTTTTTTTTAGGGTAAATATTTTTTATTGTAAATATTTTATTTTTTTTAATGTGCGTTATATTTACTACATTTATGTGCTGTATTTTTTAAAAATATTTTTAAGGATAATTTTTTGATAAATCATTTTTCTAATTGTTTTATTCTATCTAACCCATATTTTTTTTTAATATTCTATTAAGTCCTGTTTAATGAAATATGACCAAATTACTATTTCTAATTTTTTTGCACATGTTTCTATTTTGAAACTAATATATAATAAGGTGAATTACACTAATTGTCCCTATAGTTTGGAGCTTGTGTCACTTTGATCCCTGACTTTTTAATTGTAACACATTTGACCCTAAATTTTGAATCTTGTTCCAAATAAGGACAATTGAAAAATTATTAGATTTTTCAAGGGTAAAATCATCAATTTGATAAAATATAAACTAATTTGACAAAAATAAATGGCAAACAAATATTTTTGGATTTTAAAAAATTATTTCTACCTACTAAAAATAAAATTATGTAAAATTGAAAAAACTTTTAAACATTTATTTATTTTTTTTACCAAATTAATTTTTATTATGTATTTGGATGATGATCATGTAAAATTAATTTTAAAAAATTAATCATGTAATTTTTATTAATTTTTATCAATTTCACATAATTTTATCATTTGTGGATAAAAATAATTTTAAAAAAATTTAAAATATTTTTTTGACATTTATTTTTGTCAAATTAGTTTATATTTTATTAAATTGACGATTTTGCCCTCCAAATTAAATAACGGTAACTTCAATTGTCCTTATTTGGA